CAAACCAACATCTGAAAGCAGCTGCAGTCAGAGCATGTAGAATGGCCTAGTCAAAGGCCAGACCTCAGTCTAGTTTAGAATCTTTAATAACAACAGTTCTCCAGTGAATAGAAAGGTCATGCTGAGGTCACAGTGAGGTCACAGTGAGGTCACAGTGAGGTCATGCTGAGGTCACAGTGAGGTCATGCTGAGGTCACAGTGAGGTCATGCTGAGGTCACAGTGAAGTCACAGTGAGGTCATGCTGAGGTCACAGTGAGGTCATGCTGAGGTCACAGTGAGGTCATGCTGAGGTCACAGTGAGGTCATGCTGAGGTCACAGTGAGGTCATGCTGAGGTCACAGTGAGGTCACAGTGAGGTCACACTGAGGTCACAGTGAGGTCATGCTGAGGTCACAGTGAGGTCATGCTGAGGTCACAGTGAGGTCACAGTGAAGTCACAGTGAGGTCATGCTGAGGTCACAGTGAGATCACATTCTGTGTCTCCTGCAGGTCAGCTGCTCCCCACCGTCCCGGTCCATCTTCCCGGTACCGGCCGCTTCATCCCCCCCCAGGAGTGCAAACTGAAGTTCCCCTTTAAGAGCAACCCGGCCCACCGGTTGTCCTGGGGACCGGCCAGCGAGGCGCTGCAGGCTCTGGGTCTGGGCGTCGAGCAGGGCGGGGCGGCGGAGGAGGACGGAGCGGGGGGGGGGCTCCCCCACGCCTCCCCCGCTGCTGCCCCTCCCCTTCCCCTCGGCCCCCCTCGCATGCGCACGCCCAGCCCTCACCGCGCCTGGCAACAGCGTAACCAAGGCAACCAGCCCGGCAACAACCAGAACTACCAGCGGCGCCAACGCCGCGGCTCCCTGGACGGCGGCGAGCAGGGCGGGGGCGGTCACCAGGGGCGACCGCGGCAGCGCAGGGCGGCGTCGCCCGGCGGGGAGCGGGGGGGCCGGCCGGGGGCCCGGGGCGGCAGCAGGGACAGAGACGGAGGCTTCTACTACACCCAGCGGCAGCACCATCAGTTCCACCCGCATCCCTACTACGACTCCCAGAATGCACCATTCCAGCCCAACTATCACAGCCTGCCGCGCTCCGGACCCCCGCCCCTCCCCGACATGCTGCTGGGGGCGGGGCCTCCGCCCGCCGCCTCATCCTGGGCCTTCGGCACGCCGCCCAGGATGAGGCGGCAGTTCAGCGCCCCCGACCTGAAGAACAAGGAGAACGTCATGTGACCCAACGCTGGCCTCTGATTGGCTGCAGATCCTCATGCTGTAGAGAGCAGACGGAGCGTGTGTGTGTGTGTATCTGTGTGTGTGTGTGTGTGTGTGTATCTGTGTGGGTGTGTGTGTGTGTGTGTGTGTGTGTGTGTGTGTGTGTGTGTATCTGTGTGTGTCTGTGTGTGTGTCTCTGTGTGTGTGTGTATCTGTGTGTGTATCTGTGTGTGTGTGTGTATCTGTGTGTGTGTGTGTGTTTTCAACACCTTTATGAAACAGTGTGAGGTCACGTCTGTCCTGCTGTTTGGGTTTTATCTTAACCTCAGCCGTTGTCTCACAGCCGCTGGTTTGGGCTGGTTAAGTTCTGGTTAAGTTCTGGTTCTGGTTCTGGTCCAGTAGACGGTTCAGTTCACAGGCAGAAGAACTGAAACTGTTGGAGCTGAACGAACTGCAGCTTTTTCCCATCATGCAGTTCAAATGTTCAGTTCCTCCTGAATGTTTCTGCTCTGATGATGCTACATAGCTAGCCTAGCGTCTCATCTGATTTTTCCCATTTCACCTGAACGCTGCATAGCCAACAGCTGCAAACCAAAGAAAGGCGCTCTGTGGCGACCCCTGCAGGTCCCCAGAGGCCACGACGTGTGCAGGAAGTGTTTGTTTTAGGATCAGAGCAGGTTGTTACTGAGCTGTGTGTATATCTGAACTTTATCTTTGTGTTTTATTTGTTTTTAATGGACATGAATTTTAAAAGGAAATGAAATGTGCTGACGGTGCGTTCAATGTCACAGGCAATCATGGGAAATGAGAGAATAAAGTCTCAGGACGGGAGACAGAGGAAGGACTGCAGGTCATGTAGGGCTAGCAGGAGGGATTCTGGGAGATGTAGTGAGATTCAGAAGGCATGGAGGTTTGATGAATGTGTGTCAAATATATGGAGGTTAAATCCACGCGCAGCAAAGCATTCTGGGAGAGGAGCGTCTCTGATTGGCTGTTTTATTTTGGGTAGTGATTTCCTTTTGTGCTGCATATTTTAGCCCCGCCCACATCCTCGGCCATGGATGATGATGTCATCATCTGTCATGGTTGTTATGAAGTGTCATAATTAATGTTTGGTTGCTGCAGGAGCTCTGTGTGTGTGTGTGTGTGTGTGTGTGTGTGTGTGTGTGTGTGTGTGTGTGTGTGGTGTGAGAGAGAGAGAGAGTTTCAGGATTAATTTAGGCTCATCTTTTTGTTTCATTTCTTTTTTCCCTGGATTTGTTTGGGACCTGATTCCAGAACATTCGCTGTCGGCCCCGCCCACCCGTACCTCTGCACCAATCGCAGCCTCTGACGCTGTGACATCACAGAGGGGTTGGAGACGTTCTATTGGCCCAGAGCTGCTCTGTGTTTTCCTGTTGTGGGGTTTTCAGTCTCAGGCTCGACCTGCAGACATGATGGCAATAAACTGTCAGGAATCAAAGCTGCTGCTGCGTCTTTCTTCCACTAAACTTTAGGAAATATTGAATGTATTTCAGACCATCACAAACCCATCATGTTACAGAAGTGCAATAGGACAGGCCACCTGAATAAAAGTTATTATTAGTAATAATTATTATTTAGATGAAGGGTTTCTAGGAGCCGCTCTGATCCTCCACACCAACATGAGGAAAAAATTTTACTGCCATAGTTTCTGCTATCAGCCCTGCAGAACATGACATGAGATTCACTGAAGTAAAAAAAGTTCTGTAAATGATGAAACATTTATAGAACTGCTTTATGTTTCAAAAGGTTTTAAGACGTTTTTATGTAGACCCTCATTAACTGGTCATTAATCCCTGACCTGCGTTAACGTCTCTCTGTCCTCATGAGTAAAACAGTTAAATGAGATTTCTGACATCATGTGGTCAAAAAAACAGATTTTATCCCAAATATGTCAAGATTAACTTTATTTAGTAAAAATAAAAGTTGTTTTTTTTCCAGCAGCTGAAGTGAAACCTGTTTTGTCCCAAAGAATTGTCTTGACTGGACTTGAGGTCAAAGTTCATGGATTCCCTGCAGTGTTTTAAATCTTCTGGACACCTGAAGGTTTCTTCTCTCTCTCTGCTCTTTGGGAACGTTCAGATTTTGGCTCTCAGGTTTCAGGTTTCTTGGTTCTGGTTGTTTTCCAACAGACTCAAAATGAAAGTCAGACATGAAGCAGAGGAAACGCTGAAGCTGCTCTTGCTTTGCTTCCTGACGTTTCTGGGTCACAACATGTAGGTCCTGCTTGATCTAAAACACATCCGCGGCTTTAGAGTTACAGCATCCAGGAGTTTTGCAGGTATTTCCAACATTTTACCGCTCAGCAGTAACCGCTGTTACCTTCCTAATGAGAGGCGGCTCTTGTCATACATTTCTAAAAAAGAAACAAAATGGTTGTGTACCGCTGCGTAGGTCTGGTTTATTATATTAGCCATGCTAGGGCTGATAGGTCGTGTTTTAGACAGATTCTTTTAACATATGTTTTAGTGACATGCTGCCCTCTAATGTTTTATTTCTCCCAGCTCTTGCTTGAAATGTGTGGTAAGAATATGAGAAAAACCATTAAGTTTTATAATGACTGAAATGTAAGTAGGCTATGTCATATGAAAGCTTTGAATTATAACCTCACTAGTTATATTAATTAATTTTGAATGAAAGGAAACAAATATTGTTTTCCTTTCATTCATCATTTGTATATGGACCCTCTGATAAAGCCTTGCTCACCCTTTGGCCCCCATTGGAACAAAGTCTAGCTCCACCACTGGTCTGAACATAAAACTGCCTCACCAGGCTTCACCTCCAGCAGCCATTGTAATGCTAAAATAACTGATAGATTATCTCTTGTTCTTCTTTTTATAATAACTTTTTGTTTCAGAATATAAACTGCTATTCCTGTTTTACCATTTTCCTCTTTTGATGCGTCTGTATATATTCTCAACATATTGATGCCTTTTCTACATTTATCAATAATATTCTGTGTCTTAAATGAAAGTTTTACATCAAACCATAAGCAAAAGTACCTCACAATATTTACCTGCTTTAACTTTTGCCCATATAATCCAATATAATCCAAGATCTTCTGTAGGATTAACTTGAAACATCAGGAACGGTGATAAATCACTGAGTTTAGTTATTCTCACATTTAAAACATTAAAATGTTGAAATGAGTCCCGGCTGCTTTCAGCTGAATTTACTCATTTCAGAATTGGATCTGTTGCAAAAAGCAACAAATCCATAAATCAGATGATAAATCTAAAATTATTCAGCATTTTTGTCTTTCCACTAAAAATGGACGATCCAGTTTGGTTCCAACTGGCTCTGCTGACCTCTGGAACTGAAGGGCAGCAACTGTAGCAGAGGTCAGAGGTCGTCCAGGTCGGTGCTGCTCCGACCCAGAGCTGACGTGTTTCTGAGAAACTAGGCGACCTTCTGGAAAATCCTCTGGTGGTTCTGGACGGACAGGTCCAAAGTAACAACACCAGAACCTTTGTGTTGGTCCAACATTCTCCAATTGAAACTTAAATTCTTACATAAAGAAACTAAAACCTGCTGCAGTGGATAAACATTAATGAGAAACCAGAACCGGGCCGACAGGTTCTGATCAGAAGCCAAATATCATTGGTTCCAGCGATGGAGAATATTTTATTCAATCAGATGATCAATCTGTGACATGGACCTGGAGCAGATCCACCACAACATACTGCTGCTGCTTTCCCTCCTGATGGTCCGGTCGACCCGGTTCCACAGGAACCAGAACTCCATCATCTGAGTCAAACCAGGCCAGGAGGGGAACAGTCAAACCAGCCTGTTCCCCTCCTGGCCTGTGGGGGCGCTGCACCAACAACCACTGCAGGAAACGACACTAAAACCTCTGAAGACACTGAGAGCAACTTCCTGTTTCACCAGATGAACCAAGATGGAGGCGTCAGAGTTTAGTGATTTCTCTTTAGTCTTTGGCTGAAGACCAGGAGCCATTTCTGCTGCTAGCGCTAGGCTAACATGTTAGCTTTGGTTGTATTTTCCCAGAATGCTCAGAACTGGTCTCCAGTCCACTTGGCATTCACATTCAAACCGAACTAGAGTTCACTTCAACCAAACCCAGACTGAGGTTTGGAGGACCAGAGGTCAGAGGTCAGAGGTCGATTAGCGGTCACACCTCACAGTCAGACTGAGCAAATAAAAAGTTTTCATCCTGCCAGATCCCGAGATTTCACTCTGATCCAAAGTCAGATGGATTTACAGTCAATGATCAATATGTCGATCAGACAGCTTCTTCAGTCATGAGAGGAGTCGGATCAACAGAACCACTTCTGGTCCTGATGTCCTCCAGCTGGCCCTGGACCGGGACAGTCCCTGCAGGAGACAGAGGACAAGTTAGAGCCTGGAGTTCAGAAACTCCAGTCCAACCCGAACGTCTCCAGTTTGGGTTGGACGCTAAAGTAACTGGTTCAAAAAGACATGATCAAAACGAGACAAGCTGACCTTTGACTTTTAGCAGAACCTTTTTCTTTCTCCAGATCTGCCCACTCTCTATGCAGGATTCGTACTGTCCACTGTCTTCCACTGTGGGACGCCTCAGAGTCAAACTCAGGTCTCCAGACGTCAGCAGGTTGTCAGCCATCTTGGTTCTGGTACTAAAATGCTCATCCTGGTCATCAGGCTGATCAGAGCCGCTGTAGTACATGTGAACGATCATTTTTGGCTCTGGATCAATACGTCCCCAAACCACTGCAGCGTCTGCAGGCAGGTCAGGTGTTGTTCTGAAGGGCAGCAGGACAGACGTCGCTCCGTCCTCCACCTCCACCTGACAGACTGACAGAAGAAAGACAAATATATATTTAGGATTATCGCTATACTGACTTTATTTTCTTTCTGCTTGATGATATAAATATTAAATCAGAAGTTATGATCTTGAGCAGCCATCTTTACTTGTGTCGAACGTCCATTTACCCAAACACACTGACTGGACCACATGTCCCAGCATTCATAGTGTGAGACTTTAACATGACTAAAATATCATGTAGTTCACCAAGCAGCAGCACCTTTAACATTTAGGACCCATAGACTCACATGTGAAACCTTTTCTCCTGACCTGCAGGACGGAAACACGACTTTCTACAAAACATGGAGGATTAGCTAGAAACTGAAGAGCTGCAGTTTGTTTAGCCAAAGGTCCTTTAACTGCGGCAGACATGATATTACCTCTGTACTTATATTGGGACGTTTCTTGTCTCGTTTACTAGAGAGGATTGTCTAAATGTGTAAAATCCTTTAACGTCTTGCCCTTCATGCTGCCCACACACGATGCTGCCCTGGGTAGCTGCCCATGTCGCCCATGTGGACCAAGCTCAACGTCTCATTCAAGGACTGAAGCCTGGTTTCTACAACGTCTTGCTATGGCAGCTTCTTCTCAAAGGCTGATCCTGCTGGTGGTAGAGGAGACGCAACGCAGAACATCAGACGATATCGAAGAAAATCTGTGACTCTGACAGAGAGCAGCACAGAGCCGTACGTCTGGTCACAGCAGCGGCAGGATCTCTGCAGGATCTCTGCAGGATCTCTGCAGGATTTCTGCAGGATTTCTGCAGGATCTCTGCAGGATCTCTGCAGGATCTCTGCAGGATCTCTGCAGGATCTCTGCAGGATCTCTGCACACTTCATGTCCAGATGGATTCTTCAGCAGCAGGACATGAGAATAATCGGACATCCTGGAGCTGACAGGCTCAGACCTGAAGGACCATGAGACGAGGAGCTGCAGGATAATTTAAGATTCTCATCTTCCAGAGCTTCACATCTTAATGATTTTACAAACTATAGTGAAAGAGTTTTCTAAACTACTAAAGACTTTTGTTAAGTGTATTTAAGAGCTACAGCATAACTGGTGGGTTTCTATGGGTCTTATGGTTCTGATTATTCATTGTCCAGCCGGCTGCTGCATTAAGGGACATCATGTCTCCCTGCATATGAACTCATTAGTTGGTGTCCCTCAGGGCATGAGCAACAATCCCACAATGGAAACTTCTACATTTGGGTTAAAGGTACCTACTGGTACCTTTCACCCACTGACCTTTGACCTGGAGTTTTACTTGTTTCTTCATCAGGATGTCTCCGTCCCCCGTGGAGACGCTGCAGGTGTAGGTGTTGTTGTCTTCGTCGGTGGTCGTCTCAGAGTCAGACTGAGGTCTCCAGTTCTCAGTGGATCTCCATCCATCTCTGGTTCTGGTTCTGTAGGATCGGTTCTGTTCTCCAGGCTGATCAGAACCGTTCTGATACACATGGACCGTCTTGTTCAACCCGTCCTCCACTCCACCTTAACGTCTCCATCCAGACTCTTTCTGGTTCTGCAGGGCAGCAGGACAGAGTCCACCTCTGGTTCCACCTCCACCTGTTCTAGACCTGAGAGACAACAGAGGACAAGATGATCTGGACAGCTGAGCTATCGATCTTGTTGGAGAAATTGTGATATAATTAATCAAATTGATCTTTATAATGTATCTTTATTTTATGTTTTCCTTTAAGTTAATCTCATGATAGAATTAAGAATGTTTCTATATTGTTGATTTGCTCTGATTCTTTTCTCAGAAAGCCTCACTGACAGAGAGCAGAGAGTGTTTTCCTGAAGTTTTATCTTTTGGTAAAGAGCTCTGCTTTGCTGAGTGGCTAGATGTTATAAAAACTGTCACTGTGAAGAATCACAGTATATTCTGCTAGACTTTGTGTCAGGAACGAGATTATCTAGTCCAGGATAATTTGTGTATTAGTTAGTAAATGTAGCTGTGTGATGAATTGTTTTCCTCTTTAGAGCTGCAGCGTCTTTGTGATTTAGGGATCCTGAAACAATAAAAGAGAGGAGCAGACAAATGTGCTTCAGAGAGACAGGAGATTGTAACTGAAGCACATCTCTGTCTGTTCTCCTCGCGAGTAAAAAAATAATCTAACTCTTTTGTCTTTTCTGTCTTTAATTATGTTTCAACAGGTGTTAACCCTAACAGATCTACTGATCCAAAATCAATAATCAATAATCAAGGAAGATAACTTCAAGACTTAAAGCAACGACGTCTAAATCATCTGTTGATAAATAATCTCTGTCCAGACGCATAAAGTTTGGGTCAGACTGAAACACTGTCCAGGGTCCAAACGGGCCAGGCGACCCGTACCGGTACCGGCTCGCCTGGTACCGGTACCGGGTGTATCGTCAGTAACAACAGCTTTCAGAGCATTGCATGCTGGGAGATGCAGTGTGATCAGTCTGAATGAAACTGATGAAACTGGATCAGTTTCAGGTTGATGGAGTTGATCATAACTAAACTAAACTAAATGAAACTAAACTAAACTAAACTAAACTTAACTAAACTAAACTAAACTAAACTAAACTAAACTAAACTAAACTAAACTAAACTAAACTAAATTAAACTAAACTAAATAAAACTAAACTAAATGAAACTAAATGAAAACTAAACTAAATAAACTAAACTAAACTAAACTAAACTTAACTAAACTAAACTAAATGAAACTAAACTAAATAAAACTAAACTAAACTAAACTAAACTTAACTAAACTAAACTAAATGAAACTAAACTAAAACTAAACTAAACTAAACTAAACTAAACTAAACTAAATAAAACTAAACTAAACTAAACTAAACTAAACTAAACTAAATGAAACTAAACTAAATGAAATTAAACTAAACTAAACTAAACTTAACTAAACTAAACTAAACTAAATGAAACTAAACTAAACTAAACTAAACTTAACTAAACTAAACTAAATGAAACTAAACTAAACTAAATAAAACTAAACTAAACTAAACTAAACTTAACTAAACTAAACTAAATGAAACTAACTAAACTAAACTAAAACTAAACTAAATGAAACTAAACTAAACTAAACCTCTGAAGAGCAGCAATGGAAGATGAGGAAATCCCAGGACCTTCATATTCAGAGATGCAGAATCTCAGACTGAACCCAAATGCAGAGAGAAGGCAGCGTCAGTTCAAAGGTCGTTCTTCAGCTGACCCTTCAGCTGACCCTTCAGCCGACCCTTCAGCTGACCCTTCAGCTGACCCTTCAGCCGACCCTTCAGCTGACCCTTCAGCTGACCCTTCAGCTGACCCCTGCTGGCTTGGGCCATTGCTAACACTCACAAGTTATCTGGGCCTAACTGACCAAGTTCCTTCTGAGAAACTGATGTACATAAAATGCTGATTCATCAATGCTTTACAGTTTATTTCTCCAATTCAATATCAGTTCAGAAAAGCAAATGAATGGATCAGATGGTCTGTAGCATCAGGGAACAGAAGTGGGAAACAGCAGCTCTTCATGCTGAAGAGTCTTTGGTGGGAATCAAACTGAACATGTTGTTCATATTATGGACCAAAATCAGCCAATAAAAAACAAGATCAGCTGTTCAGACGTTTCCTCCAAACATCTCACTGCTGCTGGTCTGAAGCTGAAACGGCCAAAGTTAGAAGTTTGACATCGTTTCTCACCAGCAACATAAGAACTAATGACATATAGATAATACCAGTTAATCATCAGAAATAATATCACATTTAACTGACCAGTGATCTGAAGCTTCACTTGCTTCATCATCAGCATGTCTCCGTCTCTGTTAGAGACGCTGCAGCTGTACGTCCCTGCGTCTCCATCACTGGGCCACAACAGAGTCAGACTGAGGTTTTTATTCTCCAGCAGGTTTCCATCCATCTTGGTTCTGGTTCTGTAGATCTGGTTCTGTTCTCCAGGCTGATCAGAACCGTTCTGATACACATGGACCGTCTTGTTAAATCTGTCCCTCCACTCCACCTTAATGTCTCCATCCAGACTCTGTTTGGTTCTGCAGGGCAGCAGGACAGACTCCACCCCTGATTCCACCTCCACCTGTTGGACTGAGAGACAACAGAGGACAAGATGATCTGGACAGACAGCAGCAGCTCTGAGGACATGATGAAGACATTTTGTTCTGTGGGAAACGGCCAGAGAAAGAGGCAGGTTGGTAGTTTTCTGCTTTCTAACCAACATGTTGGTTAAAACATGTTGGTTAGAGTTTTTCTGATGGTCTGGAGGAAATATTGATCCTCAGATATGATAATCATTATTGAATCTGATGGGCTGTTTTGAGCAGATGGATGCAGTGTACCATGTTTCTATAGAAAACTGATTGAATCCCAGATTTAATAATAATAATAATAATAATAATCAATGGCAGATCAGGAGTTTACATCATAAAACACCAAAATACAAAGTGACCAGGTGACATCATCGTGTCACCTGGTGACATCATCGTGTCACCAGGTGACATCATCGTGTCATCTGGTGACATCATCGTGTCACCAGGTGACATCATCGTGTCACCAGGTGACATCATCGTGTCATCTGGTGACATCATCGTGTCACCAGGCTGAACCAGTTGGAACCAGTTTGTCTTTAGGATCCAGCTGGAAAACCAAAGACCAAAAGTTCAAATGGACTTTACAGAATGAGCTGTTTACATTCCCAACCAACCCGCCGGTTAACCCATTAACCCATTAACTCATTAACCCATTAACCCATTAACTCATTAACTCATTAACCCATTAACCCATTAACTTATTAACCCATTAACTCATTAACTCATTAACCATTAACTCATTAACTCATAACTCATTAACCCATTAACTCATTAACTCATTAACTCATGAAACTCATGAACTCATTAACTCATTAACTCATTAACCCATTAACTCATTAACTCATTAACCCATTAACTCATTAACCCATTAACTCATTAACCCATTAACTCATTAACTCATTAACCCATGAACTCATGAACTCATTAACTCATTAACTCATTAACCCATTAACTCATTAACCCATTAACTCATTAACTTATTAACCCATTAACTCATTAACTCATTAACTCATTAACTCGTTAACTCATTAACCCATTAACTCATTAACTCATTAACTCATTAACTCATTAACTTATTAACCCATTAACTCATTAACTCATTAACTCATTAACCCATTAACTCATCAACTCATTAACTCATGAACTCATTAACTCGTTAACTCGTTAACTCATTAACCCATTAACTCATTAACTCATTAACTCATTTACCATTAAACTCATTAACTTATTAACCCATTAACTCATTAACTCATTAACTCATTAACTTATTAACCCATTAACTCATTAACTCATTAACCCATTAACTCATTAACTCATTAACTCATTAACTCGTTAACTCATTAACCCATTAACTCATTAACTCATTAACTCATTAACCCATTAACTCATTAACTTATTAACCCATTAACTCATTAACTCATTAACTCATTAACTCATTAACTCATTAACTTATTAACTCATTAACCCATTAACTCATTAACTCATTAACTTATTAACCCATTAACCCATTAACTCATTAACCCATTAACCCATTAAATCATGAACCCATTAACCATTAACTCATTAACTCATTAACTTATTAACCCATTAACCCATTAACTCATTAACTCATTAACTTATTAACCCATTAACCCATTAACTCATTAACCCATTAATCCATTAACTTATTAACTCATTAACCCATTAACCCATTAACTCATAACTCATTAACTTATTAACCCATTAACCCATTAACTCATTAACTCATTAACTTATTAACCCATTAACCATTAACTCATTAACCCATTAACCCATTAATCCATTAACTTATTAACTCATTAACCCATTAACCCATTAACTCATTAACCATTAACCCCATTAACCCATTAACTCATTAACCCATTAACTCATTAACTCATTAACTCATGAACTCATGAACTCATTAACTCATTAACCCATTAACTCATTAACTCATTAACTCGTTAACTCATTAACCCATTAACTCATTAACTCATTAACTCATTAACTTATTAACCATTAACTCATTAACTCATTAACCCATTAACTCATCAACTCATTAACTCATGAACTCATTAACTCGTTAACTCATTAACCCATTAACTCATTAACTCATTAACCCATTAACTCATTAACTCATTAACTCATTAACTCGTTAACTCATTAACTCATTAACTTATTAACCCATTAACCCATTAACTCATTAACCCATTAACCCATTAACTCATTAACTCATTAACTCATTAACTTATTAACCCATTAACTCATTAACTCATTAACCCATTAACTCATCAACTCATTAACTCATGAACTCATTAACTCGTTAACTCATTAACCCATTAACTCATTAACTCATTAACTCATTAACTCATTAACTCATTAACTCATTAACTTATTAACCCATTAACTCATTAACTCATTAACCATTAACTCATCAACTCATTAACTCATTAACTCATTAACTCATTAACTCATTAACTTATTAACTCATTAACCCATTAACTCATTAACTCATTAACTTATTAACCCATTAACCCATTAACTCATTAACCCATTAACCCATTAAATCATGAACCCATTAACCCATTAAACTCATTAACTCATTAACTTATTAACCATTAACCATTAACTCATTAACTCATAACTTATTAACCCATTAACCCATTAACTCATTAACCATTAATCCATTAACTTATTAACTCATTAACCCATTAACCCGTTAACTCATTAACTCATTAATTATTAACCCATTAACCCATTAACTCATTAACTCATTAACTTATTAACCCATTAACCCATTAACTCTTAACCCATTAACCCATTAATCCATTAACTATTAACTCATAACCCATTAACCCATTAACTCATTAACCCATTAACCCATTAACCCATTAACTCATTAACCCATTAACTCATTAACTCATTAACTCATTAACTCATGAACTCATAACTCATTAACTCATTACCCATTAACTCATTAACTCATTAACTCGTTAACTCATTAACCCATTAACTCATTAACTCATTAACTCATTAACTTATTAACCCATTAACTCATTAACTCATTAACCCATTAACTCATCAACTCATTAACCATGAACTCATTAACTCGTTAACTCATTAACCCATTAACTCATTAACTCATTAACCCATTAACTCATTAACTCATTAACTCATTAACTCGTTAACTCATTAACTCATTAACTTATTAACCCATTAACCCATTAACTCATTAACCCATTAATCCATTAACTTATTAACTCATTAACCCATTAACCATTAACTCATTAACTCATTAACTCATTAACTTATTAACCATTAACTCATTAACTCATTAACCCATTAACTCATCAACTCATTAACTCATGAACTCATTAACTCGTTAACTCATTAACCCATTAACTCATTAACTCATTAACCCATTAACTCATTAACTCATTAACTCGTTAACTCATTAACTTATTAACCCATTAACCCATTAACTCATTAACCCATTAATCCATTAACTTATTAACTCATTAACCCATTAACCCATTAACTCATTAAACTCATTAACTATTAACCCATTAACCATTAACTCATTAACTCATTAACTTATTAACCCATTAACCCATTAACTCATTAACCCATTAACCCATTAATCCATTAACTTATTACTCATTAACCCATTAACCCATTAACTCATTAACCCATTAACCCTTAACCCATTAACTCATTAACCCATTAACTCATTAACTCATTAACTCATGAACTCATGAACTCATTAACTCATTAACCCATTAACCCATTAACTCATTAACCCATTAACTCATTAACCCATTAACTCATTAACTCATTAACTCATTAACTTATTAACCATTAACTCATTAACTCATTAACCCATTAACTCATCAACTCATTAACTCATGAACTCATTAACTCGTTAACTCATTAACCATTAACTCATTAACTCATTAACCCATTAACTCATTAACTCATTAACTCATTAACTCGTTAACTCATTAACCCATTAACTCATTAACTCATTAACTCATTAACACATTAACTCATTAACTTATTAACCCATTAACTCATTAACTCATTAACTCATTAACCCATTAACTCATTAAACTATTAACCCATTAACTCATTAACTATTAACTCATTAACTCATTAACTCATTAACCATTAACCATTAAATCATGAACCCATTAACCCATTGACCATTAACTCATTAACTCATTAACTTATTAACCCATTAACCCATTAACTCATTAACTCATTAACTTATTAACCCATTAACCCATTAACTCATTAACCCATTAACCCATTAATCCATTAACTTATTAACTCATTAACCCATTAACCCATTAACCCATTAACTCATTAACTCATTAACTTATTAACCCATTAACCCATTAACTCATTAACCCATTAACCCATTAATCCGTTAACTTATTACTCATTAACCATTAACCCATTAACCCATTAACTCATTAACCCATTAACTCATTAACTCAATAACCCATTAACTCATTAATCCATTAACCCATTAACTCATTAACCCATTAACCCATTAACTCATGAACCCATTAACTCATTAACTCATTAACTCATTAATATTAACCCATTAACCCATTAACTCATTAACCCATTAACTCATTAACCCATTAACCCATTAACTCATGAACCATTAACTCATTAACTCATGAACCATTAACTCATTAACTCATGAACCCATTAACCCATTAACTCATTAACCCATTAACTCATAACCCATTAACCCATTAACTCATGAACCCATTAACTCATTAACTCATTAACTCATGAACTCATGAACTCATTAACTCATTAACCCATTAACCCATTAACTCATTAACCCATTAACTCATTAACCCATTAACTCATTAACTCATTAACTCATTAACTATTAACCCATTAACTCATTAACTCATTAACCCATTAACTCATCAACTCATTAACTCATGAACTCATTAACTCGTTAACTCATTAACCCATTACTCATTAACTCATTAACCCATTAACTCATTAACTCATTAACTCATTAACTCGTTAACTCATTAACCCATTAACTCATTAACTCATTAACTCATTAACACATTAACTCATTAACTATTAACCCATTAACTCATTAACTCATTAACTCATTAACCATTAACTCATTAACTTATTAACCCATTAACTCATTAACTTATTAACTCATTAACTCATTAACTCATTAACCCATTAACCATTAAATCATGAACCCATTAACCATTGACCCATTAACTCATTAACTCATTAACTTATTAACATTAACCCATTAACTCATTAATTAAACCATTAACCCTAACTCATTAACCCATTAACCCATTAACATTAACATTAATCAT